TTAGAAAACAACATCGATGAAGCCGAACAATATTCTCGTCGAAATTGTCTAATACTCCACGGAGTTTCTGAAACGGTCAACGAGAACACGGATATGGAAGTGATGAAGGTATTCAAAGAAAAGCTAAATGTCAGCGTTGAAAACACCGATATCGATAGAACTCATAGACTAGGTCCTAACAAGGGATCCGAAGCTAACAAACCTAGACGTATTATCATCAAATTCTCTAATTACAACAAGAGAAGAGAAGTTTTCAATGCAAAGAAACAATTTAAAGGCACCAAATACTTTTTACATGAAAATCTTACTTCGAAACGTTCGGAGTTATTTCGAGATATAAAGACCAGGCATGCTAAATCAATTAAATCTACCTGGACCTTAGACGGAAAAATCTTTGTACTTACCAACAGCATGAAAAAAATAATTATTTGCACTCGGCAGGGTCTTTCCCGGCTTCAGCAAGACCTGAAAGCTTGAACTGTACAATGATATCTTCTTTGACCTAATAGTGCTAGGTCAAACTGTATAATATAACTAACAATGTAATCTAAGTGTATAGTTAGACAATGTGTACCACCGTTTACATGTTTCCTCAATTACATCTATTATATTTATTTGTACTTTTTTACTTGTTTGTTTACCTTGTTTGCTTTTTCTTTTCTTTATTCTTGCTTTCTTGTCAACGTCTTCTCTCATACAAATTTAAATATAAACGATAATGAATGTTTGTATCTTCCATTCTCTAATCACCTATCTGAGGAAAACGATTGTAATGACTCAAATTTTAATACTTCTGAATATACCTTTAATCCCTTTGTTGATAATGATGAAAGATATGATGATCAGGCTGATATGTTATTTGATCACCTTAACACCAGATCTACTACACTTGATGAATGTAAATACTATAATATAACTGAACTTAACACACTGCATGCTTCGCTAAAACAATCCAACTTATCTTTATTACATATAAACATTCGGAGTCTTGTCAACAAAATAGATGCATTTGAAAAGCTCCTAAATTCAATTCATACTAAGTTCTCAATAATCGGGCTATCTGAGACCTGGCTAAATGATAACAAACCGTTGCCGTTTTTACAGGATTATACCTTTTTTGCAAGTAATAGACAATCACACGTAGGAGGAGGGGTGGGATTATTCATTCGTAATGAATTTAATGTTCGTCTTCGCCCTGATCTTGCCCTCCCGAAAGAATTTGGTGATTCTATATTTATTGAAATAATACTTAATACAAAGAAAAACATAATTATTGGCAATGTATACAAACCTCCTTGTACAAACATTATTAGTTTCTCTAAACTAATAATTAATTACGAATTACTAACTAAAATTAATACGGAAAATAAAATATGCCATCTTATGGGAGATTTTAATATTGATTTGCTTAAATTCCACAATCATAACATAACCAATAATTACTTAGATATTATTTTAACTCATTCATTCTATCCAACTGTTTCCTAATCAACTCGTATTACTTCAAACACTGCAACACTAATAGACCAAGTATTGAAATACACGCCATCGTGTTGGGATAGACCACTTTTATACTAATGAAACTGAATCTAGTATAGTCTCTGGTGTTCTGGTTTCTGATATCACTGATCATTTGCCTATTTTCCAGTTTATTGATAATGATCTAGATAAACTAAAAACACAGGAAAGCTTATCCTTTGTTATTAATGATATGAATTCCTTTTGCAATAATTTATCTCAATTTGCATGGTCCGATGTTTACAATAGTGACCCAAAACTTTCTTTTGATATCTTTCTTGACAAATTTTTTTCCGTTCATAGTAAGCATTTAAACGCTAGTCGAATAAAGAAAAACAAAATTCATAAACAACCCTATGGATGAGTTCTTCACTCCTGAAATGTAGTAAACGAAAACACAAATTATATACAAAATATGTTTTTTCGCAAAGTTCTAAACACAAATTAAACTACACTAAATACAATAACATCTACAATAGTCTCTGTCGTACTGCCAAATCTAATTATTATAAACGTAAATTTGATCTGGTAAAAGGCAATCTCAAACGTACATGGAATATAATAAATTCAGTTATTAATCCGAGCAAAAAGAATATTAACAAAATTAAAGTTTTAAAAATCAACAATAACATAATTAATAATGAGAAATCTATTTGTGACTACTTTAATGATTATTTTTCCTCCATTGGCCTAGATATAAACAAATCTTTACCAGATTCTGATATTGATCCTTTACAGTTCCTACCAATTCATTTTTTATTAAACCCGTCACTGAATCTGAAGTATTTGCAGTAATTCGTGATATAGATACTAATAAAGGTGCTGGCTATGACCACTTATCTCCTAGGACCCTAAAATGTGTATCTCAAATCATCATTAAACAACTAACATTCGCCATTAACTCATCTTTTTCATCTGGTACAGTTCCAAATACTTTTAAAATGGCCAAAGTCATTCCTGTATTTAAGAAAGGCGACACTGATACACTATCAAATTATAGACCAATATCCATTCTACCTATCTTTTCAAAAATAGTTGAAAAAATTATGCATAAAAGATTATTTAATTATTTAAATCAATTTAACATCTTAAATGACCATCAATATGGATTTCGTCAGAATCACTCAACCTGTCATGCAATACTTGAACTCGTTAATAACATTACTAAATCATTTGAAAATAAACGATTTCTATTAAGTTTATTCTTAGATTAATCAAAGGTCAAATTGAGACAAGCTTCGCTATAACATTCAACCTAAGGTATTATTTTGTCATCTTCTGACATGGATATATAGAAGCTGGTTTCTTATTTGCCGTAGAGGGCGTGTTTGCAACATAGGTCACGTAACTGTGGTTGGAATTGATAGATGTGGTCAAAGGTCATATATCCATGTCAGAAGATGACAAAATAATACTTTAGGTTGAATGTTACAGCGAATTAGGAGCTAGTTACTTATTCGCCGTAGAGGGCGTATTTGCAAATTAAGTTACGTAACTGTGGTTGGAAATGATAAAATTGGTTAAAGGTCATATACATTGCTATCAAATGTGCTATGATAGTGTAACCAGTGTACAAAAATGGTACAGAAGGGAAAGTATTTAAAATAACTCCCCTACCTCCCTAAATTCCAAGATAGACAAGACAAAGAAGCTTGCTGACCATAAGAATAATTAATGGGATTATTCACCTTGCCTGATAACCACTGGCTATGTATTGGTATAAACTACTAGCTAAATAGTCAGCCACTTGTCTCTAAGAAGGGTAATTATACCCTGTAATGTGACCTAACAAAGGGTCTCAGGAATGTTGTCGATAATTAGGGAGGGGAACGAATCAGATAAAAGTAGATTGTTTCACAAACAAATTCACAACATCTACTCTTAAGCTAACGAGAGCAGTAGGTTCTCCTGTCGAAACCTAGTTGTCTAACACTCTTCATTGCTCAACAAATTCAGGTAAGACCAGCATAGCTTTATTATTTTTTAGCTTAACCAGTTTAGTTAAGTCAACTGAATGTTTAGATTATTTAATATAACTGTCTATAATATATGCAGCAAGTTAATCTTAAATTGCCTCTCACCTATTATGTGTTTTAAGTAACTTTATATTCTGTTAATGAAATTATTATTTGCATTTATAGCTAAAATGCTATTACATGATAAACACTGACTATTATCATAATCAGTCCATTATCCATATATTGATTATATTGTTCCATTGAATAATAGGCCTGTATAAAGAATATTTGTAGGTTAGTCCGTAGATTAGATGTTAAAATAAGAAAAGGCTTGAGCATTGCACAACATCTACTCTTAAGCTAAAGAGAGCAGTAGGTTCTCCTGTCGAAACCTAGTTGTCTAACACTCTCCATTGCTCAACAAATTCAGGTGTTGAGAGAAGATTCCCAAAGTCATACTGAGTGAAGGATTGGAGTCCGCACCTATCAGAAGACTTGGTAATCGTGAACAGTGTTAAGACCTACGAATCAACAGCAACCCTACTGAGTGATTCAAATACATCGAGCAAGACGTTTGTCAACAAAATATAAGTTTAACTTGTACTTATTATATTATATGTTATTTGTAACCTGACTGTGTTTTAGCATTAATTGCTATTTTGTATAATTTCGATTTGATGATATAATATATGCTCACTTAAAGCCAAACACTGTTTAATTTGATTCATTACAAGTCCAGTGCCTCCTTCGTCAAGCCTATCCGAACCCCGCTCACATCAATCTTAAGGCATCATCTTATGTATTGTGTGTAGAGCGGTTACAATAGCAATGTTAAATGTTAAATGTCTAAAGAACACTTATTGTTAAATTATTAACGAGAATTACTATTTCACAAGAAGTCAGTTTCTAATGGACTTTTGGATCACCTATTGGTATGTAGTTTAAAAGACACTTTGACCTTTTATCTTTGAGATATTTGTCATTATTCACCTGAACTTTTTTGGATTTTTTGCTAGCCCCGCTACAACAGGACAAGCTTTAACCAAGCCAAGCGGTTCTCAAACAAAAGGCACTGTGATCTGTTTATTGGACCTTACTGTCCAGCCTTTGTCTTGGCCTTGAGTTTTATTATGTCTACACTTTAACTACAGCAGTATAGTGAAATACAAATTTCCAGAACACTGGTGAACACGTTAATAATTACGAATAGGTTTATTACTGTATTTAATTTGTGATTATTCCGATCCGTTAATACAGTTCAGAATTACAATAATCATCATGAATGACTGTAAGTCTTGTTTAACTGTCGATGATGCTTTCGCATGTATACTCGAAACGAAAATGTCACAAATAAAGCTTCTCAATCATGGAGACCTAGCGAAGATTAACCACAACGAATTAGTACATGAAATACGTTCATCAATGGCAGCACTACTTCCCGGGGATTCGGACAAAACAGAGATCATGAATCATGCATTGATAATTCAAAGCAAAGTGAAGAACTTTATTAGTAGTTCTCTTTCTTTAATACTAAGCAACATTCCTGCTAGCCAACAGCAAGGAACATCACTTTCTTCTATTTCTGCAACTAGAATTAAGTGTACGGCAACCTGTAAATTCGAACACTTAGAAAAGGGAAAGTCTTTAGAATGTAGTTTGTGCCAAGAAGGGTATCACAGATTGTGCGTTGATCTCAGTACAAAGGCCAATCCTAGAGTTTGGATTTGCCCTTCTTGTAAGGATATTCCTAAAAACTTTAACAAACTAAATGGGAAAACATCGCAGCTAGAGGAAGAAGTCACAAATTTGAGGAAGTTAAATCACTCACTTTCGCTACAAATTAAGGAACAAAATGATATAATTGTTCGACTACAATCATCTTGGAACAATCATTTATGTAATAGTACGAGTGGTACGAATAACAATGAAAATACACAATGCACAACATCGACCAACTTACCAAAGGGGCCGCTATCAGTTTCGGATAAGCCGATTACGCCGCACACAAATTTGGATAATCCAGTATCCTGTCTCTTATACACATCTAGATGTGTATAAGAGACAGAACCTGAGCCTTTTCAAGTAACTATTTCTGCAACTAGAATTAAGTGTACGGCAACCTGTAAATTCGAACACTTAGAAAAGGGAAAGTCTTTTGAATGTGTTTGTGCCAAGAAGGGTATCACAGATTGTGCGTTGATCTCAGTACAAAGGCCAATCCCAGAGTATGGATTTGCCCTTCTTGTAAGGATATTCCTAAAAACTTTAACAAACTAAATGAGAAAACATCGCAGCTAGAGGAAGAAGTCACAAATTTGAGGAAGTTAAATCACTCACTTTCGCTACAAATTAAGGAACAAAATGATATAATTGTTCGACTACAATCATCTTGGAACAATCATTTATGTAATAGTACGAGTGGTACGAATAACAATGAAAATACACAATGCACAACATCGACCAACTTACCAAAGGGGCCGCTATCAGCTTCGGATAAGCCGATTACGCCGCACACAACTTTGGATAATCCAGTATCGCCAAGTAATTACACTACCCTACTGATTGGCGACTCTATTGTTCGGGACATAAGAGAGAAAGGTCTACAAGGAACCAAGGTAATCTGTATGCGTGGAGCTAAAACGCTGGACGTACTTAACAAACTTAAAAACGTCGAAGATTTTAGCACAATTATTATACATGTTGGTACTAATGATTGCAACAATAATGATCAAATGGAACTAGGAATTAATCATTATAACGAAATGATTAACAGTCTTAGGTGCCGAATCCCAGAAGCAAATCTAGTTTTATCTACAGTATGTCCCCGTGTAGACAACCCTGAGCATCAAAAACGTGTTGAAACGTTCAATATGAACATAATGAATCTCGTTAATTCAACGGAGAACTGTAAACTTCTCGACAACGACGAAGCATTCACACTTCGCAATGGGAACATAGTGGAGAGGAGCCTGAATGGAGGAGGTCTGCATCTTTCAAAAGAAGGAACCCGTGCCTTACTACACAATATAAATGTGATTCACACTATCATTCCTTCACATTCATCGAATAGAAATACGCGTAGACCGCTTCATTCAAGAAATCAACATCATAGGGCCAGAGCATATTCAGCCACATCGTTTGAACGCGCTTCATCTTAGCAAACATATGATCACGCATCTTAAACCTTTGATACACCTTTTGAGTATAGGTACACAGAGCGTCGCAAGGCAAATAGGTCTTACTTTTTCCGGGGTCGCCGTAGTCATACTGCGTCGTCTTTACGATGCTCTAAATGCGGTTTAACAAATCATGCAACAAGGGACTGTTATCATAATCAACCTGTTCGATGTAACGTATGTCGTAAATATGGACATAAAGCTTACCTTTGTCGCGCCGAAGATCATCAACAAAGTGGGAGAATTGATCCACACTCAAACATACACAGTACATAGGACAACGGCAACAGTATTGTGAACACTAGCAATGTCTTTACTTTATTACGAGATGAAATGAAAGATATAGTTTATTCAGACATTGACGTCCCCAATCAGAATTCAGAAATAACTGTAACACATTCTCATGGGCCAGCGATAAGTAATATTAACCAACGAAGGGGAAAAAAGCGCCATAGACGAGGTCATGGGAATAGACGGAAGAGGAAGTGTATAAGAGACAGATTATTCCCTAAAGCATTATTCGAGCACCTTTATTAATATTATTGTTATTATTATTATTTATTTTTTTATATATATTATTTATCAACCATATTAACATTGAAAACATCAATATGCATATGTGGATAAAATTATCGCAGGGGGTTCAAATGGATTGGTAAAAATAGAATTTCAAAGGGAGGGGGTGGGATCGGTGCTTTAATTTCAAATGATGTTAATATTATTGACGGTAATGTTTTGAACTCACTAGACGATGCCCATGAGAGGTGCTGGTTCAAAATTTATGCTGGTAATAACGAAATGTATATAGCTGTTGCATATTTCCCTGTGGAGGGTGTTGATAATGATTCATGTACCGAATTGTATAACCAGTTACTCGCCGATATAATTTGTATTGAAAATGAACATAGAGAAAGTGGTCCTCAGATTTTAATAATGTCTGATATGGATGCCAGAATTGGTGGGGAAATCCCGTACGGAGATCCGATACTAAACTCTAATGGAGAGCGTGTCCTGAATTTTCGGGATGACGCAAACTTGAACATCTTAAATTGTATTAGTGAGGGGGATAACTTATGGAAAAATTATCAAGATAGGAGAAATTGTGTAAAATATTAGTTAGAAATTAAATAACCGAAATGCGGGTTAAAAGGTCAGTTGATATTGCCAACAAAGGTGGTCGTAATTGCCGTGACTTTTGGAAGGAATTAAAGGGGGGGGGGGGGCGAGCGAAAAAATGAGCAAATACAGTGCTTAAAAGTGCCGGGCACAAATGAAATTACTTGCGATAGAGAGGAAATGAACCAGACCGAACATTAGGTAAAATGAACAGAAATACGAATGATGAACACGATAAACATTCTATCGAAACTTCAAATTTTGTTAATGATCTTAAAGAAGATAACAATTTTTTGCAAGCTTCTGATGATAACACTAACTCCATTGTTGATATTGAACTTATATTAAATCTGGTCGAAACTGCTATTCTTCAATCCAAAAATAACAAATCCCCAGGCTTAGATAATATTTCGAACGAGCTCCTAAAAAATAGTGGTAAATATCTGAATTATTCAATATTTTCATTATTTAAAAGAATTGTAAGTCTTGAAAAAATTCCAGCTGAATGGAACCGAAGCATTGTTGTCCCAATTTATAAAAAGGGCGATCGAAAGGACTTAAACAATTATAGAGGGATTTCTCTAACTTCCTGCGTTTAAAAAATTTTCAACAGAATCGTATTATACACAGTCTCTGAATTCTTAGAAGAAAAGAACATGCTTTCAGAAGTACAGGGGGGCTTTAGGCCTTACCGCCGCTGCGAAGACCATATTTTCACTCTTAAGAGCATCGCTGGCTGCCGTCTTGCAGAAGGTAAAAAGACCTTCTTGGCCTTTTTAGACATAAAGAAGGCCTTTGATTGCGTTTGGCGTGACGGCCTGTTAATGGCAGTATGGAATATTGGGATTCGGGGCAGGTTATGGAAGATTATAAGTAGTTTATATGATAATGTTAAAGGGCAAGTAAGATTCGGTGATATTAAAACAGATTTTTTCGATATTGAGGAAGGAGTGAAACAAGGTTGCGTGCTTTCACCAACTTTATTTTGTATAATAATGCATGAATTTACAAAATTATTGAAAGAACACTCATTAGGTGTACACATACATGGTGTTTGTATGAACAGCCTTTTCTGGGCAGATGATGTGGTTTTATTAGCTGACAGTGAAAATGAACTTATTAAGATGTTGGAATTGGCGTCGCATTTCGCTAACAAATGGAAATTTAAGTTCAATAATGAAAAGTCAAATGTTCTAGTTGTCGGTCAGCGGCTGGATAGTACCAAACGTTGGAAATTAGGAGGGGATTTTATAACTGAAGTTGAAACTTATAAATATTTAGGTACCCACATTGCGAGGAATATGAAGGACAACTTCCATATACATCAAGTTATTGCAAATGGAAATAGAATTATCGCATATAGTAAATCCATTATAGACAGGCTTGATGATTTTAACCGCGTGTATTATAGTGATGTTCTTTGGAAATGTATAGGCCTTCCCACAATTAATTATGCGTGTGCTGTATGTGTTAATACAAATACTAAAGATTTAGAGAAAGTAGAGTCTCTTCAACTACAAATGGCGCGGACCATACTAAAAGCGAGTCGAAGTACTGCAAAAGAAGCACTTTACGGCGACCTCGGTTGGCAACCAATTAAAATGACACAAGATATCCTTAAAGCAAAGTATATAGATAATATTATATGTATGGAAATGAACCGCTGGCCAAAACTTATGCTTAACACGATTATTAGCTTAGACGATTGTAAATTAAGATATCAGCTTGTTAAGGAGTATTGATTCATGTTATAAAGCTAATTTTGATTTTGTTTCCATTGCGAATAATGCTTTTATAGGTTTCAAATCTAATTGGGTGAAATCCTTCGAGGATTCAATTAAAGAATCATATACCCAATTTTGGAAAGGGGAGGTTGAGAGAAAATCTTCACTTGGTGACTACTGGCATGTAAAAGAAAAACCTGGTTTAGAACCTTACCTCTTAGACATGACAAATTTCCATGGAGCTAGTCTCAAATTTAAACTACGATCAAATACATTAGCACTTGGTAAACGTACTAACAAATGATGTATAGACAACACTGACACCCAATGCGAGATCTGTGGTTATGGAGAGGAAGATACTAAACATTTTCTTTTTGTGTGTAATCCCTTAGAACGTATCAGATCTGAAGAATTAATTAAGTTGAAAAATGATTTAATTTCTATTAACTGTGTTAATGTCTGGATAGACTTTTCATCCAGTGATCTATGTACAAAATTACAATACGTCTTAGCAAGCTTCGATTTTTTTGATAATATTTATCCTGAACACATGTTTAATAACGATATTGCCCTCTTATTTGATAAATTCTGTAAATCGTACGCTTGTCGGGCATGGAAGTTAAGAAGTGTACTTTTATTGGAGAAAAATTAGCAATGTTCTGAGAGGTACGCTTGACCATTTCACCACTCTTTTAAATTGTACTGTTCTTCCTTTGCTGTTGCATTTCTGATTAACTGCGTATGATTTGATGTATTCTTTTTGTATTTTATTTACTTTCGCTGCTTACATGTGTATATATGTATATATATTTACAGTTTGCGCGTATGTATGTTTATGTATGTATATGGGTATGTTATTTTATTATTATTATTATTATTATTATTATTATTATTATTATAATGGTCACATTATTAAGAAGACACAACAATAATTGTTACTTAACCAATATCCTGAGGCGCGTGGAACGGAGAGAGTAGAGAAAACAGTAGAACTTATACATACTGTTTGTGGATTTCGGGATTGGAAAAGGGAAGGGAGGGGTAATTAAGACTTTGATTTTTACTTTTTGTTAAAAGCTCATTTACTTTTACTTTTGATTTGTCATGTTTTGATTTTGTTTGTTTTCTTATATTTTTCTTGGACGCACCGTTTTCTACGTGTGCCCCTGTTGTAAAAGTGTAGCTTCCAAATAAAGAACATATACTCATGTCAAAATATTACCGTATCAAATAATAGCATAATTTGAGTGTTATGTCGAATTAGAAGCTAGTTACTTATTCGCCGTAGAGGGCGTGTTTGCAACATACGTAACTGTGGTTGGAATTGATAAATGTGGTCAAAGGTCATATATCCATATCAGAAGATGACAAAATAATACCTTAGGTTGAATGTTACAGCGAATTAGAAACTAGTTACTTATTCGCCGTAGAGGGCGTATTTGCAAATTAAGTTACGTAACTGTGGTTGGAAATGATAAAATTGGTTAAAGGTCATATACTCATGTCAAAATATTATCAAATAATAGCATTTAAAACATTTAATAACATTTAAAAAATATTTTGTAACTGTCTCTTTAATGTAGTTTGAATAAGGAACTAGGAACCAACTTCACAGACATCTCATCGATCACATATCAGCATTTCCTGTTTTATTATACTCTTATTAAGTGGGGGCCACCTTATTGATTCACAACACCAACAAACATGTTATATTCATGAACACGACAGACATCAACACAATTTAAATTTGCACACACTACGTGATTTCATTCTACAAAAAGCTGTGACATCGGCTGTTCAGGAGGAATTTTATAATTAAGAGAAATTTATAAACAAAAATTAAGTAAATCATTAAAGGAGGAAATGGGAAGATTCCATAGGGAATACGTGGTTAAGATTAAAGTGAAACTTAGAATAGTGGCACCAGTTAGACTGGAAGAATGTACATTTCTAAACAATAAATTAATGTGTGGTTAGGTAATGACTAGGAGTTAAAGAAAGGGAGTTGAACCCAAAAAATAGTCAATTAATTATCAAATACTGAGAATTTTAAATACCACTGATGAGAAAAGTGTCACTGTGATAGGTTAATATTAAAAAATGGGAGGTAACAGATGTGTAACAAAATGTGAACCAGTGACCAAATGAATCAGAACTAACGAGAATTAACTCGAGAACTAACTCGAAATTAACCAAGAATTAAACCGAGAATTAAGTGAGGATTATTGTGAATTAATGTGAATTAACAAGTGAATTTGAGGAGTCAACACGAAGTTGAATATTAAGTGAATAGCGATACCAGCGAATTTAGTGAATCATTACATGAAGTATCAACAAATTGTGAATTGTAACCTGTGAAATTGAGTAAAAATAAATTGTGAATTTTGAGCCTTAAAAGCTGAGTTCCTTTACTTTGTCTCGCGAACATCGGCAATAAATGAACGCCTTGTCGAAGCAATGGCTGATGTACCAGTCGTAAATGCAAGATTGGAACGGAAAATTTCAACATCAAAAATAACAGAAAAACTAAATGATGGGCATAATTATTTGAATGGAGTTGAATTGCCCATAGACGGATGTAGACGGCAAACAATATGGCGACTATCAAACCGGATAAAA